TTGTTGGTGGTCGAGCAGCTGTTTAATTCTGTCGAATGTCCTCTGCGATTCTTCCGACCAAACAAACTTTGGCTCACCTAGTAGCCTGTATAGAGGGGCTGCTATCTCATTGAAGTTCTTCACGAAGCGACTATAAAACGCTGCTCTACCCAAGAATTGTCTCAGTTTTCTCTTTGAATTCGGGGCTGGAATCGTTTTAATCGTCAAAATTTTCTCCGGCAGTGGTTTAATCTCACCATTTCCCACTTTATGTCCCAACAGAGTAACATTCTTTTTGGCTATCTGAGACTTGGTTTTGTTGACGCGTAGTCCAAACTCTTCGATGCGTCGCAGCACGGCTTCTACATGGTTGACGTGATCGTTTTCGTTTTGACTGTATATGACGAGATCATCACCATAAACCTCCACGTTTTTCAAGTTCCTAAGTAATAGCTTCATCAGTCGTCTGAACGTAAACGGTGCACCTGCTAGTCCAAACGGCATGCGTTTAAATCGATATTGTGTCTGACCCACGATGAAAGCCGTCTTATCTCTATCACCTTGTTTTATCGGTATCTGCCAGTATCCTGAGCGAAGATCGAGAACCGAAAACACATTCGCACCTTGTAGGCGATCTAAAGTTTCTACCACTGTTGGCATGGCACACGGTCTTAACTCTGTCATACTGTTTAACTGTCGAAAATCAACACAGAATCTATACTTCCCATTCGCTTTTTTTACTAACAGCACTGGAGAGTTGTACGGGCTATCAGCTTCCTCAATAATGTCATCTTTTAACATCTCTTGCACTTGTCGCTCCACTTCGCCTTCCAGATGACATGGAACTCTTCGCGTTAAAAATGACCTTACTTTCGGATCACTTAACGGAATTTCATGATTCACCTTATCGCAATAACCGTATGGGTCGCCATCTCCAGTGAACAGATGATCGTATTTATTAATTAACTCTGTCACATTGTGTACCGTCGACAGCTTAATCGCTGCTATCTCGCTGGTCTCATACATGTTGATATGCCCGTATTTCGTGATCACCACGTTCGCTTGCGTGTCGATTATTGCACCAATCTCACGCAGAAAATCCGCTCCTAATATCGTTCGCTGTAGTTCGGGTACAACAATGAAAGGAAACGTCACCTCGCAGCCACCAACAACGACCGTACAGTTCGATCTACCCGTGATACGCAACACATACCCGCCTACTGTTTGTACTGTCAATGAACACGGACTAACACTCTTACATAAATTCTTATCTATTAACGACACGGCCGCCCCTGTATCTATCAAACATACTACTTCTCGATCATTCACTCGCAACTTCGAATACAGAGCCCTTTCTCAATAGCCCCCACTAAATCTAGGTTCATACGAAAGAAAGAACAAGCATTATACCGTCTGAAATTTTTTCTTTTTCGCCTTTCTGGGCAGTATCTTCTCCAGTGTCCCGGCTTACCGCATTCAAAACACCGGTCTTTTCTATCAGCCAACTTTAACGCCGCCACTTCCCGCTGCAATGCTTCAATTTTCTGCTCATATTCGTTTGGTTTTGGTTGGTCTATAGCGGCTACCGTTGTGCTCAGCAGCTGTCTGGTCACCTTCGCCAGCTCACTAATATCCATCGGCTGCGTTGCGTTAACCAGTTGTAATCGCTGAGAAATGTGGTCTGGGACACTCTCGATGAATTGGGAAGACAGTAACTGCGCTTCTGATTCTTCATCTAAAGTGGGAAGCGCGCGTCGAAGTAGATTAGTCAGTTTCACCGCCAACACTAGCGGGTCTCCATCAGGTCCAAGCTTCATTGACCGGAACTGCTGCATTGCTAGCTGTCTGTCTGTTTCGCTGTCAAACTCGGACACTAGTCGTTCAACCAATTTCTTCCAAGACGCTGTGCCATTTGACCTGTCTACGCTGTCATATGCAGCCTTCGCTCGGCCTCTCAACAGCGTCCCCAGGACAACTGCCTTCGCCGCCTGCTCCTTGACACCCACCAGCTCAGCAACGGCCTCGAAGTCACGTAAGAAGCTCCGTATGTCTCCTTCTTCAAACGCAGCTGGCCACGGGATCTTCATCTTTTTGGAGGCAGCGACACCAAATGTAACAACAGAAGACAAGGGCTGGCAACAGATCGTTTTATTACGAAAATCAACACGTATTTATATATATTTTATGTGCATTAATAAGGCTTATGCAAGCAGAAAAAGGCAGTCTTCTGATTGGTTGTTTCTCGGAAGTTAAGCAGACAAACACAGTCTTATGATTGGTTGTTTTCGATATTTCTCGGAAAGTAGAGCCATCTATCTGCGAATCATATTTGTCCACATTTAAGTTTGCTGTGATTGGTTGTTGAAACAGCCTTGTTCATATTTTCTCACGGCCCATATTAGTGACCTAGACATTAACGTAGATTAGTGTCAACCAATCGGCTAGCAGCCTGCTCTCACCACACTATTAAACAGTACCGCAGATTCTATCAGAAATAACCGTCTGTGTGCTATCGCTGGGACATTTTGTGACAGCTTATAAGTAGAACGCGTGGACTGATTTTCTGCATTAATTTATTTACTTATTTTATTTTTTTATTTTTGATTACAGCTTGATTCCACAGCGTATTTTTGGTACAAGTATGGAATTTTCAGCGTGGATATCGGTAGCCCGAATTTCGCAGGCCGACCATAGATATCAGGTGTGCGTCGGTAGGGGATCGAACCCCGGACCATGTGCATGGTCGGCGAGAGTCCTAACCACTGTGCCACCGACGCACGATAACACATGGGTTCCAGTCGCTGTATTCAGTGCTTTGAATGTTAAAGTGAAGAAATTGAGAATAAGCCTGGGTTTCAACCTGTGAGTTTGCATTGATTAAAAAATCAGACCACCGCACTGCAGTCCCTACAACTTGAGGATGCATAAATTAGCTTGCTCAGAAATTCGATTGGGTATGTTATGTAGATGCTGAATTGACATATTCAATCTTTACTGATGGTTAAGCCGGTCAAAATATGAGCCTTCTCTCAACCTGATAACAACTGCTGTTATTCCCTTCCCTTTTCCTTAGAATATTACCCACACAAAACACTTGGAGGATGTGGGCTTCGCCGAGGATATATGTCTGATTTCCCACAAACTGGAAGATATACAAGTGAAAAGTAACGAAACTGCAGAAGAAGCATCCAGATAAGATAGGACTTCCTTCAGGTAAACATACAGAAAACAGAGGTGATGAAGATTCCTGGCCAACAGAAACAGCTACAGCAACAACAGTAGACAACAATCAGCATAAATGGGAGAAATCTGAAAGAAGCAACCTCCTTCACCTACCTACCTGGGAAGCATCGTTTCAACTACAGGCGGACTGAAGTGATGAGGATACCAAAGCGAGGATCATCGGGAAAGTCTGTGTGGAGATTAACAACACTCATCACTAAAAAAGACGTCGATTTTCAACTCTAATGTGAAGTTAGAGCTACTTCATGGATCAGAGACTTGATGCCCCGTCGCGGCACTTCGAACAAACTACAGACCTTCATCAAAAGCTGTCTTCGCTCAACACTCAAGATCAGATTGTCAGAAAAGATCAGCAATAGTGAGTGATCTCTGGCAGTGAGCGAACCAACCCATCAGGGATCAATTGTGCAACAAATATGCATGAAGAAATGGAGGTGGATTGGTCATACTCTGAGAAAACCATCCAGTGGGTGATATCACACGTCAACCCATCGCTCGAGTCGAGCTCGAATGGGAAGCGGCGAGTTGGTCATCAGTTCGACGGTGACATAGAGGAAGTCATGTGAAGAGGAGATGAAAGCATGTGGGCAGACGTGGAGTCAGGTAAAAAGTGTTGGTAGAGAACCGAACGCAGTGGAGACGTTTGGCTGAAGCCCTATGTTCCTCTACGAACAAAAGGAGACAACAATAATACCCCATAGTTAAAAACTAAAAACACTATTTACAATTCTGAGAATGAATTATGTATATATTTAGCAAAAGAAAGTTATTTGTACATTATTTTGTGCTGTATAAATTATATAAATATCTAGAAAAAGCGTGGTATATATAAATAAGATTGACAGATGATCACAAATGTTTAGTCGAATCACCCTAAATGATAAAATGTTAATTTTCTTCAAACTGAGAAAGGGTAGGTCAGTGGCAGCGGAAAGCCTGTCAATTACCCACCGCCGTATAATCCTTTACAAGATGAACTGACAATCAAAATTTAGACCATGAATCCGACCGTCTGTTGAAAACAAAATCCCTAGACGATTACAGCATAATGTACACACATATGAATAACAATAATAATGACTTTAGAATCGATTTATGCATGAATAAGGGCTGAAAGAAGAAAATAAATAACACGCTAATTAAATTCCTGACAGAAGTTCATTGAAAAACCTTCCTATAACAATTAAGAAAAATGAAAAATCCTAAAACACAACACAATAAAAGAAGCATTTTGAAAAAAATTAGATCAGCAAATCCAACTCGACATGACGAAAAATCGATGGGTGAAAAACCTGTTTTTTTTCTCTCCCATATATACAAAACTCTTCATGAAAAATAAGGAGTAGTTAGAGTGTCAGAGAGAAACATTGGAGTAAGCAGGGATGGTGGGTGATTGTTCAAACAGGGGGCATATGAGGAAAGACCGCTCAAACAATATGGTAGAAAAGAAGCAACTGAAAAGCAAGTTTTAAGTTCAACTCTTTCAAATTAAAAGTGAATACATAAACAATAAATAGTCTTTTTAAGAAAAAGTGGAGAATTGAATTGCCTCCACCAACCACTATAAGAAAACAGAGCTAATTAATGCGTGTGTGTGTGTGTGTGTGCTATAAACGTTTTTCATGCTACTAGTTTAGCTACTTATGAATAGTTAAATGCATCTTTAGAAAAATGTTCGAGGAAAGCGATTAACTGAGCGCATGAATGTTTGCATTTTACACAAGATGAAAATATAATCTGTCACCAAGTATATGAAGAGGATGTATCTATTAAAATTCCTATGGTTGCTGAAATTTATTGATCATATTCTTTACAATGCCTAAACGTTGGTTTACAGCATCATGAGACGTAGTAGCAGTTGTCTTGTTATTATGGCTTGATGAAGGAGGAGGAGGATTATGAAGGCTTCTCAATGTTGGTGAATAATTTCTACTCGGAGCAGTTTTCTCCTTGATAAATGTATGAGGAATGTCACTGGAAGATGATGTACTGTTAAGTCGTCGAGGTGGTTTAATTGGTTTCCCTTTGTTAGTGTCATCAGCAGTAGCAGTAGTAGTCCTGTCTTTTAAGTGTAGAGAATTTGCTTTGAAAAGACCATTCGGTTTAGTTGATATTTCTGAAAGTGATGATATCACAGCTTTTACATGACCACTACAAACAGATTCTACACATACATCATCACCTGAAGAAAAAAATGAGACAAATAACAATGATGAAGAATAATTGAATAAAGTATATTGCTTCCTATAAAACAAAACAACTCTAAAAACGTCAAATCTAATACATTTATGAAACAGTTCTTACATTAAAACTTTAAAAGCAACTAAATTTAGTGTAATTTCAAGCCACCGTGAATTCATACTTACTAAAATGTAAGTGACAAAGTGAAAAGATCATTGTTACTGTCTGTCTGTTTTCGACATAGAACTTTGCACCGATGTGCACCAGTTCAAGTCGCCACACTCCCTCCTTGTAGTATACAAACCAAGCGAAGAAGATAGAAGAAATGCATAATAGAGACAGTAAACAGAGGAGTGAGACAGAGAGAATAGTAATATCCAAGAACCATATAGTTTTATTGAGTATTATAAGTCACAAGGAGTGGATGTATCTGCACCAGCCATTGAGAACGATTTTGAGCCATATCACCAATTGTCTCCAGCCATCGCTTTTTACCGTGCCGATCTGGAAGTCTACACCCTCCTACATGGCTTAAACTAACTGCTGTGGATTTCATTGACTGGTATCATGTTTTGGTTTGACCTCCGCTAGCTCTTTTTCAGGCTGACCCGTCGAGGAAGGCGATGACTAGACATACGTAACACATGTCCTAACAATCTCAGTCGATGTAACTTCACAGCCTCGTCAATTGATTTCCCCTCCCACGTACCTAGCACTCGACTGAAGCCTAACCTCAATATTGCTTACCTTATTATACCACTTCACACGGGAGATAGAACGCAGGCACCTATGATCGAAGACAGCTAACCAGGCTTTTCATGTCTTCCACTCTCAACGGCTACGTCTCACTCGCAGGCATAAAGGAGGACGGAGCGGACTGGTGAACAGTACACTCACCCTTAGATCATTGTTACAGATTAATTATTTGCAAAATCCCTTCTCAACGATCTAATTACGATAATATCACCCTATTTAGATATTTCAACTAACTTTTTAATCATTGTTCCCTTTTTGTCTAGGCGGTTCTAACGTTTGCATATCACCTACTAACTTAATCCTTCTTATTTATCTATGTTCTAGTTTAATCCCTAATTTTAATGTTTCTCTTTGAGGTTGTGTAAGCATGTTGATAATGTGTTGTCTTACGATTGTGATTTGGCTTGAATGAAGTCAAGACTCACTGTGGAGAATTCGACCTTGAAATGTCTGTAGGAAGCGTTTGGTGTGGCTGAATCCTGTCAGCAGAGTTTTCATCTCACATTGTTGAGAACATTCTACTTGACCTGAAGGCGGCATCCGATTCCGTCGACCGAGAGGTACTCTGGCGTTGTTTGGCTGTAAAGGGAGTGCCGAGAAAATACATTACACTGATCAAGCCACTCTACTCGAACTCATGCAGTCAGACAGGTGAGAGCCCACGGAGAGTTGTCATCTGCCAAACGGTGATGACAACCAGTGGTGTCCATCAGGCATGTCAACTGTTCCCAACATCATAGATGTACGCACTAATGGACCTAATGTTAACTGACTTCAGCGACCCAAGGACTGACTTTTTACTAGGGAATAATCTCCTTGAGTTAGAATATGCTGATGATATAGCCCTGCCCCTAGGTTTAGACGTTGGCAAAATACAGCAGAATCTTCTGAATACCTTAAGGAGCAGCGGGAAATCTTTGGATGTTTGCCACAAAGTTTACTGTCGTCAAATGTAAGACGATGCTATAGGACTGGACTACATCGACTATTCCTAGCTTAGAGACAGGAAGTGAAATGGTTGATAGAGTGTCTTGACGACTTCCCTTATTTGGGAAATTGCATCAGCCAGTGAGAGAGGGTTGATGACTTACGAAATCTCAGCATGGATACAAAAGGTTACTTTGGTTTACGCCAACATACGCCATCTCTCGAGTAGACGTGATATCCGGATGACTGTCAACCAAAGGACACGTATACTGCCCACTGGTTTGCACGGTCCTCATTTATGTCTGTCAGATATGGTCACTGACAATGTGGAAGACATGAAAAGCCTGGCTACCTGTTTCTGATCATAGGCGTCTGCATTTTATCTCCTATGCTAGGTGGCATAACAAGGTGAGTAGTATTGAGGTCAGGTTTTCGTCGAGTGCTAGGTAAGAACAGAAAGTTGATAGATGAAATTATGAAGTTACACTGATTGAGATGGTTAAGATATGCGTCGTTACTCAGGCATGTCTAGCCATCACTTCCGTCAACACGCAATGTTAGCTAACATAGGATAGATCAGGTTGGAAAAAAGACAGTGGTGGTCAAACCAAAACCAACACGGCTTCATCAGTCAATGAAATCCAAAACAGTTAGTTTAAGCCAGCCATGTAGGCAGGTGTAGACTGCCACCCAGGTCGGAGTCTTCGGAATGGTAAGAACCAATGAAGGCTAAAGACAATTGGTGATATGGCCCGAAATCGTTCCCAACGGCGCAGGTACATTTGCTCTTTATCATTGATAATACCCAAAAAAATGATATTGCTCTTCCACCATATTACTATTCTTTTCCCCTCATATCTCTGTTTATTGTCTCTCTTTTGAATCTCTTTTTCCTTATTAAGAAAAATTGTCCCCTGAAACTACAAGAACTGGAAGATCCTGGGTTAGAACTTCAGCAGTGGGTACGTGCTGCTGAAGAGTCCCAAACCAGGACAAAATAGCTATCCACTACTCTCAGATTTCGCAGTGGCTCCGTAACTGATATGATTATGACCAATAGTTTGTACTCGAAACGTGGTCATCAGTTAATATTACTGTACAACACTGTGTGATTTATCAAAATAAAATCTTATCCATAATGGAGTTTTGCAACCAATCAAATCTCTGAAAAACCAACACTTGAACAAGAATAATCATCTTGCTATGTATGATGAACATTTCTAAAATCCCAACTGGAATACAGATATACACCTTCATTTTGAATTGATGTAACCGACAAACTAACACAGTCAATTTAATCATAACTATGCAGGCTAAAAGACCGGAATTCAAAATACTCATCTACAAGATTGCTATATACGCCTAGTTTTGCCTACTTTTGCCCAAAACTTTAAAGTGACTATTCTAAGGAGTTATCGCTCAGTGGTGTGAGCCCTTTGTTTTTTCCTCGGTTTCGATTGCTGGATTCCTATTGATTGTGAATACTTCTAATGCATCATCGAAATACTGCCTTATCAAGGTCATTCTAATTATATATAACCATCAAAGCTCTCTTATCGATGTCTAGTCTTTTGTTTTGCCTTTGAGTGCCGGCGGTGTTACTCTTGTTATTGTTATTGATGTGCGATAAGGTCAGATTAGCCAACGCAGTAAGTTAGTATTCGCTCATACTCGACTACGTCGTATTTCCGGTCATAACAAAGATAAACTGTGAAAAAGACTACATTGGTCAAAGCATCGTCTGTTTCAACTGTCAAATCCAAGAACATAAATTAGCAGTCAGTTGCCACAACACGCCTACCATCATATCAGTTCTTATGGCATAATACAGACAGTAATTTGATTAAGAAAATGCTGAAATTTTAAACAGAAGAAATACTAAGACAACTGTCAGAGAAATTACTAGAAAGCCTAGCAGTGTGGTGGTGTGATACAGACGATGTGTTCATGCAATCAAACGAAAATCCCTACAAAACCAATACCTGAAAATTCATCTGATGCACATTAGCGACTGGCCCTATTCAGACAGTTAACCTGGGGTTCTAGTGGGAAGCCGTGACCAGTAGGGTACAGCAGGTTGAAGATGAAGATGTCATCGAAGATGACATTGCGAAATGGTCGCGCTATGTCGTGAATTGGCAGAAGTTAGAATTCAAGGACCATTGGGTTGGGTCCAAGTGGCTCAATGGTCTACGAGCTCGCTAGCCTTGTAACCAGAAGTCCTGGGTTCGAACCTCCTGTGATGGGTGCGTACTGCTGAAGAGTCCCAAACTAGGCCGATTAAACAGCTGCCCAGTACTCCTAGCTGGTTTTCCAGTGGTTCTCTATCTGATGTCAGCTCATGATGAAATCCTCCATGTAATGAAACAAAGTCTCTACAAAACCAATACCTAGGAATATTATTTCACACATTCCCCCCAGTTCAATACGACATTAGCAACAGAATACCATATGTATATTTGAACATCTTATTTCATGTCGTTTAATGTAAACCAAAATCACACGCGGTTGGATCACTTGGAAAATATACCTTCACTTCCGTGTCTGGCCTTCTGATGTTACAGTACTTGTACTGCATTACTGAAAGTATTACTGTGTGAAATTAGGTGGATTTTATCACAAGCTAACATCAAATCAGAGAGCAACAAATGTTTGTTTCATCCTATTAGAAACTTTTCAGTAATGCGAGCCCACAGCTTTAATAGGAATCGGACAATCAACCTCTATATTATCAGAGGAACCGGTTTGTCATTTAATCACTGGCTTATAATCCAATCAGGTAACTAAATATCCATACATATAAATAAAACCAAGATACAGGCAATATTTGAAACATTAAACTATAAATTTCCAACTTATCATACATACCTCCTTCTAAAACTGCTAATGGCGCTTTAAGAGGCGGATGAGGAAGAGGAGGACGAGTATTTCCCAGGGGGACTGGTGGAGCAGGTGCACGTGATTTTCGACGGCTACGTCTACCATTTAAATCATATACTATAGGTGAAGTAGGCGTTGAACAAGAAGAATCATGCATAGTTTGTTTTCTGTCTACTGAATTGTTATAAGTAGCTAAATGAAAATAACACAAAAATTAAGAGGAAGAAAGAATTATTTCCTTGAAAAAAACAAACAGGTAGAACACTGAAACCAACTAAATAAACAATAACAGCATTAATTGAAACACCAATACCTCAGAACTATGTTAAAAGGTAGAAGAAGAAGAAGAAGAATTAAGCTCTGTTGAAAAATGCCTTAGGAAAAACGGTTATCCAAAGGGATTTATCCTAAAGTACAGCAAAGAGAAGGACGAGAAAGCGAAGTATCCAACAATTGAAAAGTAGAAAGTGTTCATTCGCTTGCCATTCAAAGGAGAAGCAGTATCATAAAAGATTGACAAGAGGATGAAGGGAGTAATTAAAAAGATGCTTCCCTGCCGCTAAGTTGGTGACGCTATACAGCAGTACATGCTCTATAAGTCAATCGAAACAGGATAAGTACCCTGTTGATGTTACCTCCAACTGCATTTAAAAATTTAAGCGCACCTGCGGCAACAAGTACATTGGAAGGACAGAAAGAAAAGCTTCTGTTCGGTTTTCAGAGTAGCAGAGATTTACAAAGTGCAATTACCAGAAACCCAGCCTGTGGATACGGGTCATTTCGTCGAGATTTCCAAATCCTTCAAACTATGAAAACATACAAAGGACAGCGAATCTACTACGATTTGCTGCTGAAGCGATTGCAATCAAACGTCTCAGACCAAACTCATGAACACAAAAAGAGAGTGTAGTCAATCTCTCACTCCCTTGGTAACCGTATTACTTTCGTTACACTGATTACTCATATACATCAGTGAGCTCAGCTCACTGAATGATATCAGTTGGAGAACCATTGAAAAACAAGGAGGTACAGGACATCGATTTAATCCTAGTTTGGAACTCTTCTGCAATACACATCCTTGACCGTGAGGGGATCGAACCTAAGACGCACCGGTTACGAGGTATGTTCGTAGACCATTCAGCCACTGGGGATCGACTCAAAGGCCTATGAATTTCCAGGTTTGAACTCCGGTGGTTGTGTACTATCGAAGAGACCCAAACTACGACGAAACAGCTGTCCAATACTCTCTGATTTTCAAGACCTCTCTAATTGATATCTATTAATGATCAAACTTTAAATAAATCAAATTCCTTATTAATTAAATCTTGAAAAATGAACAAGTTTCATCCTAATTGTCAAACGAACCTTGGACCTCTATATACCGACATTGATGAAACAAAATTAAGTCAGAAATCAAGAATGACTTAGTGTATTTGGTATGAAGCATGGCTTATTGTCGCTACTACCTCCAACCACCTTACAATATCTCGAAGCACACCACTACGGTGAATCACTTACCTTGATAACCACATTGTATTGTAGAGTAAGTTTCATAAACACGGTTTACCAACCGGTGCTTAGAGAGCCATACGTTGGTGTTCTCCCAATAAGAGTTATAGTAAATAACGATACACAATCATGTTGAGATAAATGATGAATACAAACGTTTACTTACCTTTAACTGGCTTTCCAACAGATGTCAGTGTACTATGGTGATTGGTTAATCTAGGCGGTTTAGAGACACTTGGCTTATTCGACAGACCATTATTAATGCCTAGTAATTGTTGTTTTGGTGAACCCGAGAAAGATTTAGTACCATTATGACAACTGTCAGCTCTTTCAAATGATCCTTGTCTTGAACATCTAAAATGTAAGAATATATACATATAAAATGGTGAAAATATAAAACACAATAGGCTTCTTGCAATATTCTCCTGCTTAGTACATTAGAGAACCAACCAGTTGGCGCGTCAAGAAAAGCATTTTTAACAGTCTGCAGACATTTATCAACTATTGCCACCTTCGCTGACTCCAATACCGAAGTTCAGATAACAAGCCATAAAAAATATTTCGAAGAATATGGAGATGGATCGGACGCATACTAAGGAGACCGTTGAGTAGCATCTTACGCCAGGTGGACCCTCGAGTGGAACCCTAGTGGAAAACGATGAGTTTGGTATAAATATCTGAGGGTGACATCTAAGAGATCGAGTGAGGAGATGAAAGCTTATGAGCAATCGTGATCCCAGCTAAAGATGACTACAAAGAACAGGATGAAATGGAAATGGTGTGAAGTCCTACGCTCCATTTGGAACCCAAGGAAATAGTAATAATTATAATAATAATAATAGTATATAGTGAGTATTATATAATAACTGTTTGACATTTTGTGACTGTTAATACTGAAGGCAATCAAGATGTTAAAAACTGGAAAAGCAATAGGATCAGACGGAGTCCCAGCAGAAGCATTGAAAATGACCCCTGAGACATCAGCGGACTTGATGACACCACCAATGGAGAACGTGTGGAGAGAAAGAGCAAGGTACCCGAGGATTGGAAGAAAGGTTACTTATTCAAACTGCCAAAGAGTCAATGCAAGAAATGCCGCGGCATCATGCTCCTGTCCATCCCAAGCAAAATGCTAAGCCGCATCATCCTGGAGCGAATCAGACACTCCAATCTGGATGAAAAACGTCGACAGGAACAGGCTGGATTCAGGAGAAACAAGTCATGCATCGATCAAATCGCAACACTACGGATCATCATTGAACAGAGCTCGGAATAGCAATCAGCTCTCTACCTCACTTAACTTCATAATTTTTGTAAAGGCCTTTAGCAGACAGCGTCGATCGAGAGGTGATTTAGAAACTACTTCGCTACTACGGAATACCACCAACAATTATACACCTCATCCAACAGTTGTACGACAATGATTTACGCCAAATAATCCACAACGGAAGACTCACGGAATCCTTCAAAGTGAAGACGGGAGTAAGACAAGGTCGGCTGGCTGATTGTCTACTATCTCCAATGATTTTCCTGATTCCGGTAGACTAGATAATGAGATAGACAGCGGTGGGCAGCGAGGAAGCAGCCATAAAATGGATCCGCACAAAAAACTTGAAGGATCTGGTACAATTTTGATACTTTAACGTTTGTTCATATTAACATCATATGCTTGAATCAATATAAATTCTGATGCAGTAGAATGACTCACATCGATAGACATGAAACTGTTCACTAAACAAACATGAGACAAGCACACACATTGAAAAAAAACAAGCCTACTGGCTTTTTTAGTAAAACGTGTAAACAGTAGTGTCTGATTACAAGGAACAATCATGGTAACAACAGATACTATTTGGAAACAGGATTACATATTGGCAACTCAATTGACACACATAGGCAAAATATGTCTCCTATATATGTTAAAATCACAATTTGCAAATGCCTTCCGTATTATGCTTCTTTGTCAAGTTTTCTATGTTGCTTCACATTGTTCATTTATGTATGTATCTATATACTACTTACAAGTTATGTCAGTAACACATGTCACATATTCACAATGTCATCCGTGGGACACATTCATGACATATTCAATAAAGGATAACGGGGGGGAGACAGAAACAGGGCAGAAGAGTAAATTTACTACAACTTGCTGAAGCAATTGTCACCAAACATTTCAAACTAAACCTGTACATGCATAAAGATAGAGTGTAACCAATTTCTCACGCTCTAGGCAACTTAAAATAATAATAATAACTTGCTTTATTCCAAAACAATACTTGTGATACAGAATGGAATTCTCAACATGTTACTACAGTATTGCATCCAGTTTGTACAAATATCGATAAATAAAATTCTACATAGATTAAGGTAATCTCAGATTAGTTTTGACAACAACATATATTGGCATGTCGGTTAGATGATGTTAGAAAAGTAGATACTAGAATATTTACTAGAGTAGGCGGTAACAGAACGATCGAGATATACACAGAGTATGAGAGAATGAAGACAAACGTTTTAAATAGAGTTTGTAAGGAAGAAAGAAACAAAGCAGCACATAACAGAGAAAGAACACAATGTACCTATACATGATATGAATTGGAAAGACGAGATCCAGTTGTTCTACTGACTATTTAATAAGTTATAGGTATCACGCCTAATGCTCTCTTTATAGCACAGAACACGAGCTAATTAGGGAGGGTATGGTTGAGTTTTCGATTACACACTGCTTAGTCATCTATATTAGTGATTTCACCTCACTGAGCAAATTTCAATATTATGAAAAATAATCTTGAGTTGATATGTGAACTCATAAGCTAATACAGTTTACTAGACTTTTCTGTTTTCTGAGTTCTCCTCCGACCCCCAACCCCAACGTCTTTTTTTCTACTTTGAAACCATATAAAATGCCGGTAAATAAAAATTGGTTCTCTAAATGTTGTCAGCTCATGATGAAATCTTCTAACCACTCAGACGAAAATCCCTACGAAACTAATAATTGAAAAAAAAAATTGTAATGCCTACATTTCGGACGCATTAATTTCTATAGACAAAATTTATCAACCGATAAGACAGAAACCTCACACACACAAAGGGTCAAAGTTCAAGTCAAAGAAACAATCAGTTCCAATACAAGTAACCTAGATGATGTGAAAACATACAAAAACAACCAATCACGTCCAGGGCCATCCGCGGGGAGAGATGACTAATAAACTCGTGGAGAAATCTAAAAGCTCACTTCAAATTGAAGTATGCGCTGAAGATGTCACCCAGTAGGGTGATGAAAGCTTCGCAAATTAACCATCCAGCTCAGAGAACACAACCACATCAAAAACATTGAATTATGCTATTGTCAGTCCTATAAAACCATTGTAATTTCAGGTAGTTGGCAGCTGATGAGAATCTGAGAAATAGAATTTGTTGTATACACCCTAGTTTTTTTTTCCAAAATACTACATTTAGTTTTACAGGACAGTGATGGGTTTGTATTCCCCCCCTCACACACACACACACACACACACACACACTTATGACCTCTGAACTCTAATGGCTGTTAACTGTTTGGCGTATCAAATGAAAATCATTTAAGCTCAAATATTTGAAACTGCTGTCAAATATTTTTAACGCTTGATCCGAAACAGTAAAAGCGCTCAATCCAACAATCTGTCCTCTTCCTTTCTTCTTTGGGTCATCGTGTCAGTGACATTGTTTTGTGATGGCTGTCGTTGCGATTAGTGGTTAGAACAGTAGGCCAGCAAATTTTGCCAGTTGGGGAGTTTCGTTAGAGCGAGAGGCTTGTAAACTACCAACTTGTATTTGATAGTCTTATCACAATGATATCATTTTATATGACTGACTCACTGGTTTCAACAGAGAACTTTGTACAGATGGATGTGCAGCAGTTCAAGTCGCTACCCTCCCTCCATGTAGCACACAAAGCAGGAGAAGAAAAATAATAAAAAGAAGTATGAGGAAAAAGGAGCAGTAATATGGAAGAAAAATATAGCTTTATTGGATATCACAAATCACGAGGAGTAGATGCATCTATGCCATTGAGAACGACTGTTTTGAGCCATATCACCAATTGTCTCCAACCTTCATTGGTTCTTACTATCCCCAGGACCCCAACTAGCATAGCGGTCTACACCTCTCTACTTGGCTGAAACTAACTGGATTTCATCGACTGATGAAGTCATGTTGGTTTTGGTTTGACTACCATTAGCCTTCTCTTTTCCAACCTGATCTTATGTGAGTCAGCTAACATTACCCGTTGAGGAAGGCGATGGCTAGAGAATTTGATCTTTCTCGCTTTATCAAAACAGCTCAATTCGATAAGATATAACTTCTAGCCAATAAAAATGATTTCTAATCATTTTTATGGATCAGCAGTGTACATATTTCATTAAACATTTCCATATATATTATGGCGAAAAAATAAGAGTAAAACATGACAACTGAATCTCACCAAAATGTGTCAATAGTCTGGTTCGAGAATTGCATACACCATACAGACAGGTAAGTAAAACGTGAAGTTCACTATTCACCATCCAACTCTGACGACCAAGTCTAATCATCTATTATTATTATTATTGTTACTATTCATCGGCCGCCAGTCTGTCTACCTGTCTGCTTGCTTAAAACTTGGACACCCGACAACCTCCACGACAATTTCTCTCCTAAACTTTGTTTTAATCAATTAAAATATGATCTACAGTGGCAATATTTACTCTCACGAGTATTCGAAATATAATTATCACCTGGAGGTTCTCAAGTTTCTACTAAACTTCGGAGAAAGCGTAACCGTGGGGATGGTAATATATCACAATACATGAAATAATTGTTTGTGTGTTGCGTCCTTGAGCCTCAAAATTGGCTGGTTTTCAACTAAAAGTCATGCATGTCTCGGAGACAAAGAAGAATAAAATACCATCAAGGATTGGAATTTGCAATTTGAGTCGGAAAACACTGTGTCAAGCAATTTGCTATCAATCAATATTTTAATTGAAGATCCTGGACGAAGGGAAAATATTATGTAATTGATTCTCCGCTGAAGATTCTATCCAGAATAAATTATTATTAATGTTGATCTAATCGTTTTCTGGTTTGACTACAGAATGATATACCTTAGAGGACTATTGGAAACCAAGAGAGAGTTTCATCCGAGTTTGCAACTCTTAAGCAGTACGCACCACGTGAGTTTCTAGTTACCATTCAGCCACCAGGACCCAACTCATTATTATTTATATGCTTATTTTATTCCTTTACGTTCCTAGTGGAACATAGGGAGGCTTCAAGCTGGAGTTTTGAAGTTTCTGTAGCAGTGGTATTTGTTTCTATGGGATGGGGGCTTGCTAGTCTCATGCTAGTCCCCACCTTCCCTCTTTATGAGTCTTATTACTGGCTTAGCTAGTGTGTCCACCGGGGATCGAACCTCGAACCACCTACGCGGTAAGCCAGCATCTTACCGTTGTATCGCCGATGCACAGTGGATCCAACTCAGTAGCCCATGAATTTTAAATTCTACAGATTTGGGATTTTTGCGCGACCACCAGCCAATGTAATCGGCAAGTACTTGTCTTGACTTCCAGTACTCCTTGGTTTCCAGTAGTTTTCTAACTGATATCAATCCGTGGCAGATTTGAGACAAATCAAATCCCTACAGTCTAGCCCTTGAAAACTAGTCATCTTCATCATTTAGCATGACCGCTACAGCACACACATACATACACACGAATACACCAAGAAACTGTTGCTACTAATATTATTATTCCATAAGGTTTCGAGTGGAATATTGGGCTTTAACAGCACATCTGTCTGTCATTCTGACAACGATTTTGAGCCATGTCACCTATTGTCTCCAGTCATTGATTTCTAGAGTCCCGGGGGCCCCAACCCGGAAGTCTGAATTTCCCTACCTGACTCAGTTTAACTCTCAATGATTTCATGGATTGATGTCATGTTTTTGTTTGGCCACCGCTTACTCTTTTCCAACCTGCACCTATATCAGCTAGTAATGCCCATCACCAGTGGAGGCGATGGTTAGGCATGCGCAGCACCTCACCGACCTAGCCATCTGAATCTATGTAACTTTATAGCCTCGTCGATTGATTTTCCCTCTTTGCCGAACACTCTACGCCTAACGTCAACATTACTTACCTTATTAAACCACCTAACGTGAGAAAGAGATCGCAGACATCTATGATCAAGAGCAGTCAACCCCTTCATGTCTTCCACTCGTGTTGGCCATGTTTCAGAGCCATAGAGAAGGACGGAGCGAACTGATGAGCAGTACACACGTCCCTTGGTTGATAGCCAGATCTCACGCCTACGCCAGAGATGGTGTAAGTCAGCGAAAGAAGCTCGAGCTTTTTGGATCCGTGCTGAGATTTCGTCGCCAATCAGTCCGTTGGTGTTGATACAACTTCCCAAATAGGTGAAGTGGTCAACATGTTCTATCACTTCACTCCCTATCGCTAAGCTAGGAGTTGACGTAGTCCAGTCCTGTAGCAGCATCTTACATTTTACAGGGGAGAATCGCATGCCAAACATACGAAGACTGCACATCGTCGTCCAGTAAACTGTTGAACTAGTAAACTAGGCGAACCTTTAACAGATTGTTATTATAATAAAGTCTATTCAACTATCTAGTTACTATGTTTGCTATGTTGTATGCGCTAGTTGACATTTTCCAAAGGTAGAAAAATGTTTTTGACAGAAAAGGAGAGACTATGTAAACATAACAAAGACTTAAATCACGCACCACACACACACACACCTACATAGGACACACAATATTACTGCACAAGGTGTCATGTTTATTGTCCATTTTTTCTAATTTATTATCACAATCACAGATCACTTACACAAACATTTTTGTGTAATTATCTGTGTGTGTATGTGTGGGTGGGTGGGTGTGAGTAAACAATAGAGAGAAGCGAAAACAAATCCAAAAACTGGACTATTATCCAGTAACCGGAAGTCCACGCACGCACATGTATACACACATACAAGCATGACATTCAGATTATTAACTGCCCGTAGTAGTTGTAGTGTATACCTTGTGTAGCATTTATCACAAGTAGATAGTATAGGGTAAATAGGTTAACAGTTAATTAGTGTACCTGGTCAATACACCGTTGGATTTTTCAAGTTGTACAGCACAGAAAACACAGGAACTATTTATTTTTGCTGACGAAATCTCTGCACGGATACTAAACGCACGTACGACATTTGTTAATTTACGTCATCTCTGGAGCAGACATAATATCAGGCTATGGTACATAAAAAGTACGTGTATTGCGATCCAGTTCGCTCTGTCCTTCTTTATGCCACTGAGACATGGTCATTGAAAGTCAGAGATATGAAAAGGTTAGCTATCCTTAACAATCACAGGTTAGGGTGAAAGACAGTCATAATAAGCTACTTGTTAGAATGTTGTGATGTGTTTGAATTGAAATAGAATTTTGAGATTATTTATTATCCTCTTCTGATTTGACCGGTGGTAATAATATATTCCATATTTCTGGTATTTGCATTGAGTCATTTCTATTGCATGTGTTGCGTTGAGCGTAGACTCGATGAACCAGGCACGATTCAGTAATCACTCTCTAACTCTCTCCACCTATCTAGATTACTTTTTAGAATCTTAACCCTCTCCCATCCTGTTGTGTGGTTGTGTGTTAATGCAAGCATTGCAATTGCTGGGCTTTTTTCTAAATTACTTAACTTTTCAGGGTCAGCCAGTCTTACCTTAGTTAAATTCTTATGTTCTGATAATCTGACTACCTACTAGTTTGACCTATGTAGTTGACTTAACTCACAATCATTCCTAGTTATTTTGTAAATTGTATTGTTTTGTCTAATTGAGTCCGACGGCTCCTTTAACCTACAGAGCTTGTTCCTACCTGAGTGAGTTTGTAGGTTTGAATGGCACCCTAATTCCTGCTTTATTTAGAATCCTACGTAGAGTCTCAGATGTCCCCTGCCTCCTTATATGGCATAACAGTAGATGACTTATATTCTCTCTTATTTATGTTATTTTTACTAGTTTTACAATTACTTTTATTTTTCGTTTGACCTTTCTTGGTCTTCCTAATGAATTTTAAAGGATAGTTATTTAACACCAAAGCCTCTTCTATCTGTTTTATTTCATCATTTAGGTCTTTTCTTGTGCTACTTAATGCCACTGCTCGGTTTGTTAAACACTTAACGAGGCCTGCCTTAACAGTCAACGGATGAGATGAATTAAAGTCTAAGTATCTATTAGAATGAGTGAGTTTTCTATAAACACTAGTGTGTAGTTTACCTTCTTCTATTCGTTTTATCTTACAATCTAACATAGCTAATTCTCCTAGTTCATTTTCTGATTCAAATGTGAATTTTATTCCCTCAACTTGTGAGTTTATATGTGTCAAGAAGCTAGAGATGTGTTCTGTTTTTAACACTGTGAAAGTGTCATCCACATATCTCCACCATATTTTCGGAGTAGGGTTAAATGTATTGAGAGCACTATTTTCCCAGCTGTCCATAAATATGTCTGCTACGATAGAGGATATTGGTGATCCCATTTTGCTACACCTTCTGTTTGTCTATATATTTTGCCTTGGAATTTAAAGATAGTAGATATAAGGCATAACTGAATTCCTAAAATAATTTTTTCAATGGATAGGTTGAGAGACATTGGGGTTAGGTGTAGAATGTCAGATAAGAAGGAAAAATTAATCGTTAACATTGTGAATCTCCATCGATTTGGATGAATAAGAGACACGACGTTATGAATACCTCCCCAGCGAGCAATGCTATCTGACAAAGGATTGCGTTAGAAAAAGAGTTACGGACGATCAAACCTTCCCAAAAAATGATATCAATCTACGAAGGCTTGGACTGTCGGTTTGCGCCAGACACATAAGGAGGTTCAGACTGGATGGTTGGGGTTTCTTGGGATTACAAGATTCAATGTGTGGAGATTGTCGGCTTAAAACCGCTCTGAATGATGCACATTAGTATCATTAGTATCTACTCAAAACTGGATTTGTTTAAATTTCGCACAGTAGACACAGGCGGTCTTTTCAAATTAAAGAAAAAAAATCAAGACAGGAACCCATAAATTGTTCATACAAATCACTTTTGACTAGCAACACACATAGACAAACAATAGACTAGCAATTCTGAAATGTGAAAAAGAAAAACCAAACTTCAAAGAGCAAATCTCCAGGTAAAGAGAATCAATGCGTTAAATATATAAACACAACGGATTAATCGATTGATTGATTGATTAGCCTACCTTCGTCCATTATGCGCATCACTGACTGTATTAAGGTTGTTTTTCGAGTCACTGGTTTGAAATCTTGCCAGTGAATTAGATCTAACAGCTGATGAGCGATTATTTGCTGTGGTTGTTGTTGTTGCTGTCGCTGTCGCTGTCGCTGTCGCTGTTGTACGAAATGAAGGATCTGGAATGCTGTTTGGTATCACAGTTATAGTCTAAATTGAAACGAGAAAGTAATTGAAAGCAATGTGTACATTGTATTGTGAATTACATGGAAATATAGCTCGACAGTTTATATGAAAAAAGAGAAGATGTTCAGAGAAGACACACTTTTCGACGGCGAATTCATTCACATAGCTGCAAAATCGCATTTATGTATAATTATTTGTGTGTGTGTGTGTGTGTGCGCGTACATGAGGTTTGTCAAGTTTAGATAATTAATCAGGTAATACAAGAATGATATAATATAGAAGAAACAAAGTGAATTAGACAGCAACTAAAGTAAGATTGAGTTAGTAAGTTAGAGGACGTAATATAATTGATTAGAATATTTCAACTTACGTCAGGGTAGCAACAGAGGTAATTACAGGTAGAGCGAGACTAAGTAGAAGTGGGGTAGATGATGATGGTGCCATTTAAATTAGAACTGAAATTAAGCAAATAAGTTGGACGATGTGACATAAATGACTAGAAATTGAGCGTTGCTCAAATTAGCAACAGTAGTGGTAATGAGGATGTCACCGAAAAGAGTCTCTTCGCTGAACGTCTTCTCTTTTTTCATATGACTCAATGAGGATTTTTAAGCTACTCGACAGTTCAGGCACTTAAATTTTAACTAATGAACTTAAAGTTAGAATTCCCCCCAAAGCCAACCAAGGTTTGGATAATCACGCATATATATATATATATATATATATATATATATGGTCGATGGCGTAGGTGTGAGAGATGTCCATAAAAGAATGTATGCCTGAGAAAAGACTAGCCATAAAAGGACAGTCTGCCTACATATGAAGCATACAGACAATCTCCATAAAAATAATCATTCAATTTGAGCAGACAATCTGAGATGCTCAAAAAAGAGGAGGTCAACCACGAATAAGAATGGCTAGATGATGAAATATCAAACTGTAGCACTGTGTGATTCGTGCATGAATATCTAAGAGAGGACATCAATGCCTTTAACATTGCTGATGAATACCAGCAAAAACTTAAAACGCAGATCCAGAGATTCCTATCAACTGCCATAAACCATTTAACAGCAATTCGAAGTGCACTACTTTGACACATTGCCTACCTTGGTGACCACATCACAAAACCAGAAACTAAGAGATAATTCATTCAAGACTAACATAAAGAACTAGACGTGGAATATTTGTTACAAGATTTGATAATGTGAAATATTCCCATATTATGAATTAAAAGTCAATCTGAACGAAGAATATTCTTTTCTCTCCTTTCTCCTCTTCAGGTTCTTACAATTATAAAATATAATATTTGTGGTCGTTCCTGTGGTTCAAGTTATATAGGGCGCACGACTAAGCAGGTTCGTCTACGGGTTCGAGAACATTTACCAGCTTGGTTCAGCAGGGGGTAATTAAGTGCATAAAACGCTCGATCCTGTCACACTTGGTCGATACTGGACATCGCATCGATGTCAACACAGCTTTCAGGGTTATATACCGAATTCCGAAGTCGTTATCACGTACAGTTCGCTTACGTCTCCTACACATAGCTGAAGCTGTTGCAATAAGATCGACTAAACCGGAGCTTTGCATCCAAAAAGAGCACGTCCACGCGCTGCTCCTACCGCGGCCAAACTTGGATTGATGATTCTTCTTCTCATCAAGAGTACTCCTTCCCCTTAACCCTCTTGGTTTTTTTCCTTTGCTTATCATTACAAATATTATTGTTACAATTATTATTATTAATTGTCATAATTTATGCTCTCCGTGCAAACATTCCCTCAATACTATCGAATTTTCATTTATACTACCCGGACTTAGTTTTTGTGATATTATCTCTTTTCTCAATATATGCCTCCACCTGTTTCATTTCACATATTCGGTATCTCATTATGAACCTCTCATTGCAGTCTTACTATCTCCTTTTTAACACAGACCACTTTGTTCTAGCCACTCACCCATCTGACACCTTCGATAACCTTGAACTGATTTGTCAATTTTCCTGCCCCACACTCTACAATTCTATTATGATTAATCGCCAACATTGTCTCCTGTTTTACAATATTTTCTAATCGATTTCAGCCAACTAGCACGTTTGTCACACAAATACGATTATTTATTTTGACACCCCATAACTACTAATCTGTTATTCTACGTTAGAAAATGTATCCACCGCATAACTGGCTATCATTATTGTAACGACAACAATAAATATTATATTTTATAATTGTAAGAACCTGAAGAGGAGAAATTATTGAAAAGAATATTCCTCCTCGTTCACAGATTGACTTTTAATTCATAATTGATATAAGTATAAAATTTGGGCACTGTGGTAGAGTATAATTCCATTATGGATAAGATTTTATTTTGATAGATCACACAGTGTTGTACAGTTATATTAACTGATGACGTTTCGAGCACAAGCTATTGCTCATAATCATACCAAGTTACTCACACAACTTTGTTCTTTCATTTATATACATGTGTGGAATCGATTAGATATTGGATTAAAAATCAATGTGAGATAATGTACATTCAGAAATAATAGTACGAGTGTTGTTGATCAATTTCAAACACAACATTCTAACAAGTAGCTTATTATGACTGTAAAAAATACTCGTCCTTTTTCCCATCTAACTGTGCGTCGGTAGCACAGTGGTTAGGACTCTCGCCGACCATACACATGGTCCGAGGTTCGAGCCCTGGCCGATGCACACCTGATATCTATGGTCGGCCTGCGAAATTTGGGCTACCGATATCCATGCTGAAAATTCCATACCTGTACCAAAAATACGGTGTGGAATCAAGCTGCAATCAAAAATAATAAATAAATAAATAAAATTGATCAACAACACTCGTACTATTATTCCTGAATGTACATTATCTCACATTGATTTTTAATCCAATATCTAATCGATTTTAATTCATAATATTTGTTACACCCTGGTGATTGTAACAGAATAGCTGTTTGCGAAATTCCGCCTCAACGATCTACTAACGGTAATCCTACTTATTAGAATGTTTCAACTAACCTTATATTCATTATCTTCTTTCTTTCCTAGGCTGTATATCTTTGATCAAACGTTTGCGTATCATATGTTGATTTGATCCTTATTATTTTTAGTTGTTGCTGATTAATTCCTTATTTTAATGCTTCTCCTTATGGTTGTTTGATGTTATATTGATAATATGTTGTTTTACAACTACAGTTTTGTTTGAATGATTCAACGTCATTCTGATCTCGGACTGTCCACATGAATTGTTGGGTGTGTGATTCTGATTCTTGATGACAGAGTTTTTCTTCCGCCATGTTGGGAATATTCCACTTGATTGTCGTCAGGTGCTGCTTACGGTTTATTTCTGATCAATTAATTTTGTTCTGGATTTCATCATGAGCTGACATTAGTTAGAGAATCATTGGAAAACCTGGGATTACTGGACAGCTGTTTAATCGGCCTAGTTTGGGACTCTTCAGCAGTACGCACCCACCGGGATTCGAACCCAGGACCTTCCGGTACTGCTGAAGAGTCCCAAACTAGGACGAAACAGCTGTCCAGTACTCCCAGGTTTTCCAATGGTTCTCTAACTAATGTCAGCTCATGATGAAATCCTGAAACCAATCAAATCCCTACAAACCAACACTTTAATTTTGTTCTATAGTACTTATTTTCAACTAGAAACTTATCTAATTAGTAGAGACGCCTAACGGCATTGTTGAGGTAATTTTGGGTTTTTATATGTTATCGTTGTTGTGAAATTGTATCTTTCCGAATAACTATCTTTTTTTTGCTATCTACGGAGCATTTTGTAGCCGCGCGTAACTTAAGGAATTCAAGGCTAGCTATACAGTAGAACGCATGGATCGGTTTCTGGAGTTCAGACCTTATTATGTGGGTTTTAGTCGCTTCAGTGACCAACCAACACAGTTTCAGATGTGTAACGCATAATTAACCACTTGATCAGGTATCTTGAAATGTTAAATCAACTAAAACAGATGCAAAATGTGTAGGGAACAGATCATTTGCACTGTGAATTTTGGAACTGTCGGCTACGGTGTTGAAGATTCAATTTGAGACAGGAAAACGAAATACATGTTTGGAAATCCTAAGGCACTACTACTATGGTTGAGTCATGACTGTAGAAGAGCAGACATAGATTCATTTAGATATGATAGAGAAGATTTGTAGCTCAGGTGGATGATTTTGATGTGGTTGTGTTCTCTAAGCTGCATGGTTTATATGAGAAGCCTTCATTCCCCTACCAGGTAATGTTTTCACATCCTCTATTATTACTATTATTATTCCCTTGAGTTCCGAATGGAACACATATCCATTATCTTCTATTTTCTGCAGTCTTCTTCAGCTGGGTTTACGATTGGTCATAATCTCTTATCTCCTTCTCACACTATTGAAGAAAGATATCTCATGGAGGTCTTCCAAAAGAATGGATATCCACGAGACTTCATCAAAAGACATCTACTCTCAAGCCAACCTACCGAATCAAAGGCCTCCAAGGAAAACACAAAGAAAATTGGCCTATCACATAGAAAAGACATCACAGAAATCACTGCAAGACTCTTCAAACCTTTAGTAATTGACATCACAAACAAACCAATAAAATCACTTCACTCAGTTGGCTGGCTCTATGTCAACCAAAAGACTCAACAACGAACGAAGATAAAACCAATATCATCTACAAAATAAACTGTCACAACTGCGAAAAACACTACATTGGCTAAAATGAACGTCCCCTTCGTCTTCGTATCCATGAACATAAGTTAGCCGTCAAAAGACATGATATCCACTCCCTCGCTCATATCCCTACACACAGACAACCATGGACATCAATTCGACTAGGACTACGTTCAAATATTAGACACAGTAAAAACACAAAAAATGCTTGAATTTGAAGTAGGCGCCGTAGATGTTCTTTAGTAGGGCGATGAAAGCTTCGCAAATTAACCATCCAGCTCAGAGAACACAACCAGATCAAAAAGAAATTCATTTTTATGATGCTGAAATATCTCTGAACCATTAAATCAGATAAAAAGCATCATATATGCTTGAAGTCGATGATAGACGCTAAAATCATCTCAAATTAGATGATAACTTTCAAATGTGCACTCAGACTAATGACAGTGTCACGGAGTACAAACACTAGATCTGGTAAATCTACGTCCAAGTATTGGTTTTGTAAGGAATTTTGTTTGATTGCTTGGAGGGTTTCATAATGAGCTGATACCATTGGAAAACCAACAGGGGGTGCTGGACAGCCGCCTGTTTCGTCCTAGCTTGGGCCTATTTATCAGTATGCACTCCACAGCCATGGTTCGAACCCAGGGCCTTCTGGTTACAAGGCTTGCGAGCTCGTAGACCATTAAGCCACTGGGACCCAATCCAATGGCTAACCTGTGAATTCTAACTTCTGCCAATTCATAACATTGCGCGACCAATTTGCAATGTCTTCTTCGATGAGTTATCGCCTCACCCTCAACCTCCTGTACCCTACTAGTCACGGCTTCCCACTAGAACCCTAGGTTAACTGCCTGAGTAGGGCCAGTCGTTAGTGAGTATCAGATTAATTTTCAAGTATGGGGTTTTTTAGGGGTTTTGTCTGATTGGTGGGAGAATTTCCTCACTGCTGTAGAGGAGTCCTAAACTAGGACGGAGGAACACAGCTGTCCAGTAATCCCTGCAGGTTTTCCAATGGTTCTATAACTGGTGTCAGCTCATGATGAAATCCTTCAAACAATTCTATGTTCCACTATACACGAAGCTGAGAATATGAGATCTTCGAAATTCTATACAATTATTATCCACATTTTTATTGAAGTTTTTTTTCATTAGGTAACAAAATCTGTGATTTAAAAATATATATTATTATTTCCTTTAATTCCCAGAGGAACATAGGGCTTCAGCTGCGCGTCTCCATTGCCTTCGGTTTTCTGCCAACTTTTTCACCCCGCTCCAAGTCTGTCCACATGCTTTCACCTCCTCTTCACATGATCTCCCCAAGTCAACCTCACATTGACGACCAACTCGCCGATTTCCTTTCGGGATCCATTCGAAGGCTTGTCTAGTGATGGCCAATCCATCTCCATTTATTCCTGCCTATTTGTTTCACAATCGGTTCCTGCTCTGTTGGTTCGCTCATTGCCAGAGATCCCTGTTGCTGATCTTTTCTGGTCGGCCATCTGATCTTGAGCAAAGTATTGAGCAAAGACAACTGTTAATCAAGGTCTATAGTTTGTTTGAGTCTCTGACCTGTATAATGAGTAGCACTGACTGATTTCACATTGGAGTTGAAAATCCGGATCTTATTTTTGATGGTGAGTGCTGCTGACCTCCACACAGACTTAAGGGTAATGAAAGCCTGTATTGCTTTTCCGATTCTAGCTTTGATATCCTCGTCAGTTCCGTCGGCCTGTAGTTGAAAAGATGCTTCCCAGGTAGGTGGAATAGGTTGTTTCTTTCAGGTTCCTCCCATTTATACTGGCTGATTGTTGTCTGTTGTTGTTGTTGCTGCTGGTGGTGTTGGCCAGGAATCTTCATCACCTCTGTTTTATCTATGTTTACCTGAAGGAAGTCCTATCTTTGATGCTTCTTCTGCCAACTTGTTGCTTTTGACTTACATATTTTCTAGTTTGTGGGAAATCAGATATATATCATCGGCGAAGTCCAGATCCTCCAAGTTTTTAAAAATAACATTTACATGAATTGTATAGTCAAGAACAACAACAACAAAAAAAACACAACTCACTTTTGTGATTAAATCATTACTGAAAGTGTTTCGATTATGCGTTACAGCAATACGACTAATAATATGTCGTGGTGAACTCCCACCAGACGAACAATGACCATTACTTCGATCACCATCACTCATTGTATCATTTTCATGTTCAACATGAGATGATAAATCAGTTAAAGAAATTTTTAATCCTTGAGTTAATCTACTCAAATTTTTTGTAATACTTGACGATGTAGCACACCGTTGCTTGGTCTGACTGAGATTTGTATTCACTGTTAACGGAACAGTTGCACATCGATGAGCCAGTGTACTACTACTACTACTAGAAGTAGGTGAAAGATTATTTTCACTACAATCAATAATACAGGCTAATTCTCGTAATGGACTGAAGATTTCATCCAAATCACGTGGAGATAAAGCAACCATAGCTCGAGCTTTAGCTATATACTGTTCATAGGTTCGACCGAATGTAATCACATCATAACTTGATGCATTTGGACAATCAATATACACTGATGGAGTTATCCCATTGCCAGTTGGTATCGAGTTACTGGTTAATGATGATTTATGACAAACTGGGAAGGACGGCGATGAAGAACAATGCGATAAAGTCTGTGATGAAGGAGAAGTTGGAACTGAGAATTTCGGGTTGTCTACAATATTTATATAAAAGAGGATGTAAGATTTTCATTAACCAAAAAAAAGTACATTGTATGGGGGATTTCATCATGAGCTGAAATCAGTTAGAGAACCACTGGAAAACCTGGGAGTACTGGACAGTTGTTTCGTCCTAGTTTGGGACTCTTCATCAGTACGCACCCACCAGGGTAGGAATCCGGAAAAGATAACATTAGCAATAATAATAAATAATAATAATGGCTTCATTCTTGAAATAATATGTGAGCACAATACAAGACTCTCAGGGTAATTTCTTGCCAATGAACACTCCTCATATTGGATCTTCAAATAAATATTCATCGACAGAATATCGTGTAATGCAACATCAGTTCACCTTTAAAAACCAAGATATTTTTCCTTCATTTATTTTCTCGAAATTCACAGCTGAACTATGATCAAAATTTTACCAAAGGCTTATTACTAGAGGTCATTGAATTCGAGCCTAAGTAGCCGAATCCTCAACCAGTTTGGTCTCGTAACCTGAATTTCCCGGGATTTCATGCCTGGTGCGGTCATAAGTTCGCACTGACGGAGAGTCCTGAAATGTGACAAAACGACAGTCCAGTGCTCCCTGATTTTAAGTGATTCTCTAACTGATTTTCGTTCATGACGAAAATCTTACAAATTGAAAATGATCCAAATTTCCCACAATTTCCGTAATCGAAATAACAATCGCCAGCTCATTAACAGAAATCGTGACCAATGGGGTTCACCATTTTAAGGCGAATTCTAGCCCAAGTAACTGAATGGTGAACGAGCTTGGTCTGATAAAGTAAAGAACCCAAGCTCGATCCCTGAAAGGGTCATGAGTTTCCACTACTGAAGACTCGCAAGCACTATGATGAAACATCTGTTCAGTGCACCCTGATTTTCAACGATTCTCTAATTGATATCAGTTCGTGATCTATATTAAGGAGTTGAACTTGATTCAAATCCTAGTTTTAAAACTGATCTCGTTATACGAAAAGTGAGATATCAAATCAAATGTTAACCAACAATCAACTGAATTTGTGTGCAATTCCATATTAGTTTGTTTATTAGATGTATCACACAGTGAAACAGTAATATTTACTGGATGGCGTTTCGAGCAAAACTTATTGTTCATAATCATATCGATTGTAATCACACGACTTTGAAACTTGATTTTTATAGTTTTCTTTGTCCCCTCCTATTTGTCGTCAATAAAGGACGACAATGGAAAGTCAATCACCGAAGAGTTGGAACAGAGAAAGCACTGGGCTGAACACTTCAAAAGACTTCTAAATCGTCCGCCACCTAAAACACGCCCAGCAATACCAACAACGGAAGCAGAACTACCAGTGAACACTGACCCCCCGACGAAATCAGAAGTCCTGAATGCAATCAAGATGCTTAAAGCTGGGAAAACACCGGGACCAGATGGAATCCCAGCAGAAGCTTTGAAAACAGACCCAGAGACAACAGCGGACTTGATGACACTACTGATGGAGAAGGTGTGGAAAGAGGGCAAAGTACCTGAGGATTGGAAGAAAGGATACTTATTCAAACTTCCAAAGAAAGGAGACTTAAGTCAATGTAAAAACTGGCGTGGAATTATGCTTCTGTCCATTCCAAGCAAGATACTAAGTCGCATCATCCTGGAGAGAATCAAACAAGCCCTAGATGAAAAACTTCGTCCGGAACAGGCCGGATTCAGGAGAAACAAATCATGTATTGATCAAATCGCCACTCTACGGATCATCATTGAACAAAGCTTGGAATGGCAGTCACCTCTCCACCTCACTCAACTTCATCGACTTTGAAAAGGCCTTCGACAGCGTCGATCGAGAGGTTATTTGGAAACTACTTCGCTACTACGGGGTCCCATTGACAATTATACATCTCATCCAACAGTTATACGACAATGTTGCATGCCAAGTAATCCACAACGGGAAACTTACGGAAGCCTTCGAAGTGAGGACGGGGGTGAGACAACGCTAACTACTGTCGCCATTGATTTCCCTGATTGCAATTGATTGGATAATGCGACAGACAACGGCAACCAACGAGGGAACAGGCATAAAATGGACTGACACAAAAGACTTGGAGGATCTGGATTTCGCCGATGATATATGTCTGATTTCCCATAAACTGGAAGATATGCAAGTGAAAAGTAACAAGTTGGAAGAAGAAGCATCAAAGATAGGACTTCCTTCAGGTAAACGTAGATAAAACAGAGGTGATGAAGATTCCTGGCCAACACCACCAGCAGCAACAACAACAACAACAGACAACAATCAGCATAAGTGGGAAGAACCTGGAAGAAACAATCTCCTTCACCTACCCACCTACCTGGGAAGCATCGTCTCAATTACAGGTGGAAGTGACGAGGACATCAAAGCCAGAATCGGAAAAGCAAGACAAGCTTTCATTACTCTCAAATCTGTGTGGAGGTCAACAGCACTCACCGTCAAAAATAACATCCGGATTTTCAACTCCAATGTGAAGTCAGTGCTACTATACGGATCAGAGACTTGGCGAGTCATAAAGAGCATCTCAAACAAACTTCAAACCTTAATTAACAGCTGTCTCCGCTCAATACTCAAGATCAGATGGCCAGAAAAGATCAGCAACAGGGATCTCTGGGAGCGAACCAATCAGGAACCGATTGTGAAACAAATAGGCAGAAAGAAATGGAGATGGATTGGCCATACGCTGAGGAAACCATCAAGTGACATCACTAGACAAGCCCTCGAGTGGAATCCGAAAGGGAGGCGGCGAGTTGGTCGTCCAAGGGTGACTTGGAGGAGGTCATGCGAGGAGGAGATGAAAGCATGTGGACAGACCTGGAGCAGGGTGAAAAAGTTGTCAGGAAACCGAAGGCAATGGAGGTGCGCAGCTGAAGCCCTATGTTCCTCTAGGAACTAAAGGATACAATAATAAATAAATTTGTCGTCACTGGGGTAGTAGAATTTTCCAGATATCTGGGACAGGTGTTGAGTCATTCCTATTACATGTATTAGCAGTTGATTCGATAAACAAAACTTCTGCTATCAATCTCTCCCTATACCCTGTGACATTCGATTTTAAAACTGTCATCTTATCCCATCCATTCTATTGTACGGTTGTGTGTAACTGCATGTAGTGACAGCTATAGCTGAACCATTCTCTAGATTTCATATCTTATTCAGGTCAACCAATCTAGATTTTGTTAGGTTTTTATGCTCGGCTAGTCTAACCGCCCCTGTTCTACTAGTTTGACCTACGTATTTGACCTGACAATCATTGCAGGTAGAGTATTAGATAAACCAAATTGTTTTGTTTTAAAGGCTCCACAGGATCCTTTAACCGACAAAGTTTGTTTATAACTGAGTTTGTGGGTTTAATGCCAGTCACTTTTATTCTTGCCTTGTTAAGAATTCTCTGTAAGGTTTCCGACGTTCCTTCCTTGTATGGAATTACTACTGATGATTTAGATTCATTGTTGCTGGTATCGTCATTAATATTACTATTATTGTCATTACTAATGTTATCGTTATTATTATCATCACTATCGCTACTATCATTATTTATTTTATTTTTACATTTCCTTACATACTTCGTGACTAATTTATCCGGGTAATTATTCAGTTTCAAGGCTTCTTTTATGTGTATCACTTCTTGTCTTAGATTTTCCTTGGTACTACTTAGTTTTTGTGCTCTGTCATTTAAACATATCACTAATCCTAATTTTAAAACAAGCAATAAAGGTTAATAAAGCAGGATTTAATGAATTCATCAAATTTCGGTAGACCTCGTCAGCCGAACACTCTAAATACACGGATATATATACTTTTGAAATCCTGCTTTATTAACCTTTATTGCTTGTTTTAAATTCGTATCGGGAAATAAATGTTTTCACTGCAATTTTTACTGAAATAGGATGGGATGATCGGAAGTCCGAATCTCTGTTTGAATGTGTGGGTTTCATGTAAACACTAATGTTTAACTTTGCCTCTGCCTTCGAGTTGATGTGTTTGAAAAATCTATCGATATCTTGTGTTCTAGGTACAGTGAATGTGTCATCTACATACCTCCACCATACTTTTGGGGTGGGGGTGAACGTTTCAATCGCTATGCTTTCCCACCTATCCATGAATATATCTGCTAAAATTTGTGTGCAATCAATATTAACCCATACCCTATTGTATGAAAGCGCCAGGGATACTATCTTGTCACGAAAATATTTGTAGGTGGAGCACAGTCCAAGTTCACAACACAGTAGTTAGAAGTCAAAAACTAAATCCGGTGAGACTCAGCTCCACTCATATGCAGAAATAATGAATACAACATGAATTATCAGAATTCTAAAAGTGTGGAAACTACTCAAACAGAAAAGTACGTATGTTACATACACCTGCTTTGTTTAATTTTGCCAAAAACCTTAAAATAACTATTTTAAGGGGTTATCACACACTGACATGACCCCACTGTTTTTCCCTGTTTGAATTTCCGGATTTCTATTGGCTGTTAATATATTTAATGCAGCACTGAATGACTGCCTTTTCAAGGTCATTCTAACTGCATATATACAGAATTTGTGTTGTTTGAGACAGTAAAACCTCTCTTATCGACGTCCAGTCTTTTCTTTTGTCTTTGCATGCCGGCGATGTTAATGTTGACGCGCGATTAGGACAGATTAGCCATTGCATTAAGTTAATATCAGCTCATATAGTCTACTAGAGGTCGTACTTCCGGTCATAACAACGTAGCAAATGACTTTCCAGTTACACGGATTCCTTCTAAAAGTTCAAATTTAAATTTTGCCCACTGGTATTTAAAAGGTGATTAATAACGGAGCCAAGAAGGAATAAAAGAATACAGTGTATAAACCTTTTTTCTCCGTTTCTCATATTTTTTTCGGCCAACTGAGAGAGACGACATCGAAATTCTTATTTTTCCTCTTCAGACATTCATGCATTTTGTTTTATTAAATGCTACGTTTTGTTTTTAGAATTCATTAATTTTAAAATAGTAC